AACAACGTGACACTAACACACATGGCTTTGAGTTGATTCATCACTTTCCACCAGCTTGCCTTTCCATTAGGCGTCTCCACAAGAACTTCAACCATAGCATTCACTCTCGGTAAGCCTCGCGGGTTCACCCTTGATCTTCCGGAGCTTTGACTCGCTAGAAAGAACATCCTTGTGGTCTCCAAAGCTTGATGGCCATTGGTTCTAACTTCAAGCATTGTGTTGCGCCTTCAAGAACCAACACGGTTCATAACCAAGAGTATTTTTAACCAGAATGAGAGTATGAGTAACCAAGATTTTGAGAATAAGTAGCCAAGAGAATAGAATAACCAGAATGAGAGATTTAGTAACCAAGAATAAGAGATTTTGCGGAATAGAAAAGAGAATGAGTGTTTGGGTGTTTGTGGAGACAGTCCAAGATGCCACACCATGCACCAGCATCCAGAGGATTAGGCGAATCCTCTTACACCTCTACTTTCCTATTCTAGAAGCATTCACACTTGCAGCGCATATATAGAGATAGGTAATGTCCCGCGCATATGCGCGGGTTGTTGTATATTACGTTAATTAATTTTAATTAATTAATTATTTATAAAAAATAGAACAACTAATTTCAATACTTATGACATTTTTACACTTATTTAAATTATACAATAGAAGCATACATCCATATGATTTGAATTTATTCGTTGATTAATTGTTCAATTTTGATAGTAATTTTCTTCAGTACTTTTGAGTAATTTTTGATAAAAATAATAATATTGTTAATGATAACAATATAAATGATATTGAGAGAATTTTAAAAATACCCCTTTTCAAATACCACTTTTTAAATTTATCTTTTTTCAAACTTTATCAAAAAAATCACTAAAAATGTTGAAATTTATTCAAATATGTGTGTAAGCTTATAAATATACATACACATTACCTTTCTTTGTGTATAAAATTTTATTTATTTCAATGTATTACAAATTTGTTTGATAATTATATAAAAAATTATTTTGTTACAATAATTACATACTTTATAAAATAAAATAAATATATATGAATATGTGAGAAAGAAACAAACATCTAAAGTAAAAGAATGAAGATGGTTTTTCTAACTTGATTTTCTTATAGTGTGATGGTAGGAAATCAATATTTTTTGAATCCCATCGATAAAGTAATTTTTTTATATCCATAAAAAATTATGGGGGAATTTCAAAAATACCCTTTTTCTAATACCACTTTTTTAAAATATCCCTTTTTCTAATTTTATCAAAAAGTCACTATAAATTTTGAATCAAAATACTATTTGTAAGCTTATATTTATAGACACATTATCTTTATATGTGTGTAAATTTACATATATATATATATATATATCATAAATACCGTATAAATACCTTTTAAAAACCTTTTAAAATTTATTTAAAAACCTTATAAAAACTTTGTAAACCTTTTAAAAACCTTATAAATGCCGTTTATAACCTTTTAAAACCTTATAAATATTTGGATTTAGTCTCCCAGTTGTAATGATGATCTTGATTTAACTTATCAACTATATAAAAGTTAATAAATTTTCATATTTGAAAAGGGTTATTTTAAAAAATGGATAAAAAGAGGGGTATTTTTTAAAAAGGGTACACCAAAAGGGGTATTTCTCAAAAATTCTCAAAAGTTATTATCAATATGTATTATACATTTAATAGTATAAGAAAACATTGAAGAAATGAATAAGTACATAAGACAAAGAAAAATAGAATTGAAAACAAAATTTTAAACCAAATATATAATCAAGCTCTTACAATGATATCTTAATTGAGCTTTCAACCCATGCAAGAAAATTAAAAAATAATAAAAAAAAATATTGAGGGTATCAAATATGGTGGAGGAGGATGTAAGAATGTGTATTTATAGGATAAAATATGATGTAATTTATATTTCTAAAATAATTAAATTAGAGGAGTTATAATTACAATTTATAGTGTGTTAATTGAAATTGAATAGAGGAAACAAATAGTCAATTCATAAGTTATATAATTTAGTAGTAAAGTGTGGATTTCAAGTATGAATTAAAGTATATGATTAAATGTGTTCGATATTTTGTTTAATTAAAATAAATATTATAATTAAAAAATAAATGCGAAATGGACCAATAATGAGAGAGTGAAACCTCAAAAATTCTCAAAGAATAATGGATAGATAAAGGGGGTATTTTTAAAAAGGGGTAAACCAAAAGGGGTATTTCTCAAAAATTCTCAAAGGGGGAATTTCAAAAATACCCCTTTTCATATACCTCTTTTTAAAAATACCCCCTTTTCAAACTTTATAAAAAAACCCACTAAAAATGTTGAAATTTATCCAAATATGTGTGTAAGCTTATAAATATATACACAAATTACCTTTATATGTGTATAAAACTTTATATACCTTTCATAAATAGCGTAAAAATAAATTCTAAAAACCTTATAAAAACCTTATAAAAACCGTATAAACTCTTTTTAAAACCTTTTAAAAACCTTATAAAACTTATAAAAACTATTTAAAACATTTTTAATATTTGTATCGAATCTCCCAGTAGTAATTCTTATATCGAAGTACCTTATAAACTATATAAAACTTTATAATTTTTTATATTTAAAAAGGTGTATTTTTAAAAATGGATAGATAAAGGGGGTATTTTTAAAAAGGGGTACACCAAAAGGGGTATTTCTCAAAAATTCTCAAGAATAATTTTATTTTTTAAACTCTTTTTATATTGCTATTAGTTTAAGTTATATCTCTAGGTTTAATTATGTTTTTCATCCTTTTAGTATATATAATAGATAGAAAATTGAATATCGAATTGTTTTTTAGATAGGAAATCAAGTATAAAATTCAAAGTTAGCAAAAATTATAATATTATTTATATTATTAAATGTTGAATCACAAACTAAATATAAGGATCATTATTCTTAAAATAATGTCTTACAAATTGGTATGATAATTATATAACAAAAATTGATTTTGTTAAAAAATTACATACTTTTGAAATATAAATATACATGAATATGTGAGAAAGAAACAAACATCCAAAGTATAATAATGAAGATTATTTCTTTAGCTTGATTTTCTTATTGTGCAATGGTTGGAATTCAATATTTTTGAATCCCATCAATAAAATAATTTTCTTATAACCATAAAATATTATTATACATATGTATTACATTCAAAAATATAAAAAAAAATAATGAAAAAATGAAAAAATGAAAAATACATATCAACAAAAAATAAATAAAATTGAAAATAAAAGTTTAAACCAAATATTTAATCAAACTCTTACAATGACATCTTAATTGAGTTTTCACCCCATGCAAGAACATTTTTTAAAAAACAATGAAAATAATGAAGATATGAGATATGGTAGAGGAGGATGTGAGAATGACTATTTATAGGATAAAAAGTGACGTAAGTTACATTTTTAAATTACTTAAATTAGAGGAGTCATAATTATAATTTATAGTGTGTTTTATTAAAATTCAATAAAGAAAACCAATAGTCTTTGAAAATTTACATAATTTTCAGTTACATTTTAGTAGTAAAGTGTGGATTTAAAGTATGAATTAATTTATATGATTAAATGTGTTTTTAGTAAATAAATATTAAATTTAAATAAATAAAAAATATCAATTGGAGCAATAAAGAGAGTGTGAAAATAACTCTTTTCATTTTCTTTGCCATTTGTATATAACTTATGGTGTAATTAAATTTTGTATTGAATGATTGTCATTAACATTTACTTATATATATATATGTTTAAAAAAATGAATGGCTTAAATGTTTTTCCACCAATAAGGAGAGAGTGAAACCTTACTTTTATATATATGATTAAGATACACATCTTTTCTTCGTCCAATTATCTTCTGCATGCATCCTCATTACACATCTTTTCTACGTCCATTTATTTTTTGCATGCATGTTATTTTCCATACCCCCTCATTGTCGTTGTGGGCTTCTTTGCTTCATCCATTTTCAGTCTATGGGCCTTACATATTAGATTGGGCCTAAACACTTTGAAATGTAGATTTTGTGTTCAATAATCAAATTTCTCAAGGAACCTGTTTTTTTTAAGGAAATTTAGAAACTAGTTACTTTCTAAGTTCTTTCAACTACTGTGCACAAGCTATCCATTATTTTTGGATTTTTGTAGTTCAAAGTTTTGAGATTGGTGTAACTGAATTAAAAAATAATAATAAAGAAAAGAAAAATTCCCTAGAATACCATATTTTAAGTATTTTTTCAAAAAATATCATAATTTGTTTTATTTCCAAGATACCACAAATTTTATATTTTTCTAAAAATACTATAAACATAAAAATGATTTTTGACAGTGTAGAATTATTTTTTCAGGTTTGGGTTGATTATTTTATATTTACGGTATAGTTTTTAGGGGTAGGGTTTAGTGTTTAGTATTTTAGAGTTTAGTTTTGAATGTTATAAATTTTAGTTTTAGTTTTGTAGTATTTTTTGAAAAATGCATTTTAGTGGTATTGTTGGAAAAGAAAACTCATAATGGCATTTTTGGAAAAAAAATATTAATTTTAGTGATATTTACAAGATTTCTCTTTAAAATAAAGCATATATCATCAAATCAATTAGTTATTACTACTATTGTTACTATTATGGTATTACCATATATATATATATATTATTGAAAAGAATGTCATGATTGGATGTAATAAGATAAATCTTTACAAAGTAAAATAGTATTCAAATCAATAGATTATGAAATTATGATGTACTAAACAAACAAAAGAATTCAGTTTATAGATGATAACATCTAGGCTTTTTCAAGACATGTGTTATGTATCATCAAGGTTTGGCTACATGTCACTGTTACTAAAACATAAAATATATAGATAATAATAAGTGTAGTAAATTTGTAATGATCAACTTTGTTAAAGAACCGACTTATACAAGGCATACCAAGTCATTTAGACTTGATTGGAACTTTGGAAATCTGGAACCCAAAAAAAAAAAAAATGAATACAGTAACTAAGAAAACACGTCTTGGTAGCCTCAGGCTTTACAAGTTTGATGTGCCCTCTGAGTCTAATGTTGTAGTTATATTAATAAGTCATGAAGCTTATCTTTCAGGTTTTCGAATGCAATTGACGAGATGCAGAGGAAGAGGAAGAAATTCAAAAGCTGGAATGTCTAAATCATTTGTAGAGTTGATTACATGGTTCTTCCTCTTTGACCGCAAGGATTGCTACATAAATAACCAGATATTTGCCTACATAGCCTCTAACTTATGTTTCAAGGATTTTGAGATCGTACCTCCTGCATGTCCCGTCCTTGTCTTTCACGTTATTACTAGACAATATAATCAAGGTCTTGTTCCTGAGATTGACATAGCAAGTACCGTTTTAGCCATATTGAGAGTCAGAAAATCTGTTCTATGTGTTGAAGATGCAAGAACCAGATTTGTACCAATTGCTCCACCAACAACGGAGATCATAGATTGCTACCAAAGTTCGGAATTGTGTATTCTCTGTGAAAAAGGGTATCCGAAGGAAGATGAGATTGTTCATAAAACAAAATGCAATCACATCTTTCACGGAACTTGTATCTCTCTTTACTTGTTGCGTACTCCCCAGTGTCCCGTTTGTTCCGCTCACTTGCCACCTGTCGACATTCGAACTCTACTCTTTGACTAAGAAAATTATGTACCATATTTAATTACAATATTCGATTGAATTCTTCTATAGAACTCAAAACTTTATATCTTTATTAAATTCTTCTATTCAAGTTTCTTCTATACCATGTTTTTACTGTACTACGCTGGAAGATATCAGGCACATAAAGACTGATGATGAGAGTGTGTGACGAAAGGATAATCAACCTGGAACTGGAGTTCTTTCTTGCGCATTGAATTCCTTCGCTGAAAAAATACAACAAAGAATTATAAATCATATATTCTGAGAAATTTAAGTGGTAGTCTATGCTCTATTTTAGATTTTATTGCCTAATTTTTTTGAGCTGAATTTGAAACTCATATAGTCTATTTTTTAATATTATTTAACAATCTATACCAATATACCTCCATTATAATAAATTAGAAATAAATCACAATCACAATAGAAATCTCATAAACCGCGTGCGACTTGAGTGATGCGCGTCGACAAAACGACACGCATTCTTCCGCCTAACCATCTTTTACGGTCATTAAAGTAGTACTCTCTATTCAAAATGCCTTTTTGACAATTCGTCTCTAATACTAATACATACGTTTAGACTTTAGATCTAAATGTTATAATAATTATTAGAAAGATTAAAACTATAATTATAATTATACGTCATCATTGATGTACATGATCTATTATTCTTTGGGTAATATGGTTCATGTACAACAAGTCTATTATATACTGTATTTTGGTCGTTACATTCTACATTAACAGAGAAAATCAATCCTGTTTTAAGTTAATGTAATGAAAAAACAAGTTTAATAGGCTAATTAGTGTGATATATAATCTGGTATTAAATACAATTTCCTGTACACCGAATTTGTTTTGTAATTTTTACACAAATTAAAATGACATATATATCCTTTATCTTATAAAGCACAAGTCACATGGCCAATAATATTATGCCACATAGATTTTACTTCATATTTAAAAAGATTAATTAAAAAAATTATAAATATAAAATGTCTTACGTGAGAATAACTTCCTCAAAAATAGGCAGTTTAATTCTTGAAAATTTGTTTCCACGATTTATGAACCCACGTTCACAGTAAACCAGTCTTACAAACCATATTTTCTATTTTAAATATCCATTAACTCAATCTCATATTTGTTTTTCAACATCTCCCTCTCTATTCATCATCTCCAGGCTTCATCGGTTCTATTAGGAAGAAGAATTATTACAGTAGTCTATGGCTCCACAGATGAGGTGTCTTCTGCTCCAATTCAAAGTACTATGTCAATATTTTAAAAAACTATTTGTTCCCCAGATAAGTTATGTTTTCTTATAGAATTCATTACTTACATTTTGGTTTTTTAGATAGGGTTCATTTAAACACCATTAAATTGGTGTGCAAATCAATTCACCTAGCATATCAAAGTTATTAAGTTTACCATGAGTTTTGTTTTACTTTTCCAGATTGATGAACTATCAAAAATAAAACGACAACACAATAGCCGGCTCAAAAGCTGATTTGTTCCTAAACTACCGGTATTATATCCATCATTTTTGTTTGTTACCCAACTTTACATTGCTTTTATCTACTATTTTTTTTTTTGGAGAAAACTTTTATCTACTATTAAAAGCAACAAATTTTAATGGTTTGCATTTTTGGTTCTTTGTGCTAAGATATGTTTCATAAAACTTTAAGATTTTAGGTGTTTTTATTAGTTTATATGTTCACATGTAATACAGATTAATACAAATATTAAGTAAATGTTAGCCCGTACGTTGTACGGGTTAGAATACTAGTATATATATATATATATAAAGTAAAATCTGTTTCTATATTTTTATGAGAAAATTATGGGCTATGCCCTGAACAGTAACAAAACTTATAAGGACTGGCATTTAAAGAAATCTCTTCTCCCACCTGCCACAAAAGCTTTGTAAAAAGACTAACTTACCCCATAATTTCTCTCTTATTCTTCATCTTCATCTTCATCTTCTTTTTCTTATTCCAACAACACACAGTACCGACGGACCAGATCCGACGGACGAACTTCGATGGATGAACTTCGACGGACGAACTCCGACAGACCAGATCCGGCGGACCACAGCCAATTCCGGTGAACTATAACCAGCTCCGTAGACCAATTTTGGCAGACCAGATTCGACGGACCAGTTCCGACAGACCATAACTCCAGCAGACGAGTTCCGGCAGACCACAGTCCGGCGGACAAATTCCTGGGGACCAGATCCGGTAAACCAGTTCCGACAGACGAGATCCGATGGACCAGATCTGATGGACCCGAATCGGTAGACCAAACTTGTCTATCCTACAGTTCTCTTGAAACCACAAATAATTAGTAGAAGATGAAACAAGTGATGCATCTATGGAAGATATCCATCAAAGATCTATCTAGGTGTACACTTGTATAGAGTAAAGTAAATCTAGTTTTTCATAAACGAACTTGTCCATAATACATATGTTAGATGAATAGAAAATAAATTGTCCATAATCTATTGTGGACAAAAATCAAAGAATGTCGAAAAAAAAACTTGTCTATTGATTAATGTCTGTAAAAGTCAGCTTTTTGTCTTCCTTCCTTCCTATTTTCTTAAAACTCACTCAACACTCACTCAACAATGCTGAGGGCAAAATCGTCCAAATTTCCTTCTTTGTGGCATGTTTTAAAAGGCATTATTGATAATGGCACTTCCACAATTTTGAGTTTCCAAAATGGCATAATACATAAAATGACATATATATCCTTTATCTTATAAATCATAAGTCACATGGCCAATAATATTATGCCACATAGATTTTACTTCATATTTGAAAAGATTAATTAAAAAAATTATAAATATAAAATGTCTTACGTGAGAATAACTTCCTCAAAAATAGGCAGTTTAATTCTTGAAAATTTGTTTCCACGATTTATGAACTCACGTTCACAGTAAACCAGTCTTACAAACCATATTTTCTATTTTAAATATCCATTAACTCAATCTCATATTTTTTTTCAACATCTCGCTCTCTATTCATCATCTCCAGTCTTCATCGGTTCTATTAGAAAGAAGAATTATTACAGTAGTCTATGGCTCCACAGATGAGGTGTCTTCTGCTCCAATTCAAAGTATTATGTCAATATTTTAAAAAACTATTTGTTCCCCAGATAAGTTCTGTTTTCTTATAGAATTCATTACTTACATTTTGGTTTTTTAGATAGGGTTCATTTAAACACCGTTAAATTGGTTTGCAAATCAATTCACCTAGCATATCAAAGTTATTAAGTTTACCATGAGTTTTGTTTTACTTTTCCAGATTGATGAACTATCAAAAATTAAACGACAACACAATAGCCGGCTCAAAAGCTGATTTGTTCCTAAACTACCGGTATTATATCCATCATTTTTGTTTGTTACCCAACTTTACATTGCTTTTATCTACTATTTGTTTTTCTGGACAAAACTTTTATCTACTATTAAAAGCAACAAATTTTAATCGTTTTGCATTTTTGGTTCTTTGTGCTAAAATAGGTTTCATAAAACTTTAAGATTTTAGGTGTTTTTATTAGTTTATATGTTCACATGTAATACAGATTAATACAAATATTAAGTAAATGTTAGCCCGTACGTAGTACAAATACTAGTATATATATACAGTAAAACCTCTATAAATTAATACTCTATAAATTAATAAACACTATAAATTAATAAATTTTGTTGGTCCCAAGTCGGGCCAGTGTAAATATTAACCAAATTCGATAAGATAATAAGATAATAATTTTTGTTGAAATCCCTATGTAAATATAGTCCCAATAATAACATAAATTAATAATCACACACACACACACACACATATATATATATATATGATATAATTAGTTATGTTGAAATATAGTTTTAGTTTTTTTTGTAAAAATGAATTTCTCCTAGACCTCATCTTTATAAAAAAAAGTTTATGTTACATTTTTAAACTATAATCTTATAATATATTCCATAACATCATAAAATAAACAATTTTTTTTAATGTTTTCAATTTATAAATATGCATTATATTCATTTTTTGCTTGTTTATAGGATGTTAAAAGATAACAGAAATTGAGGTATTAATCTTTTTTTTTTGTCATTGAGGTATTAATCATAAATTTGAATTTATGTATGTACTTTACATAGAAGTGAATTTATTTAGAAATTTTTTAATTCTTTGTTATTTTTTTATATAAATATAGAATTCAATTCTAAACTATAAAAATTTATATAATCTTAAAGACTAATCTTATTTTGTAAATTTGTCCCAATTCATAATTTCAAAAAACATTTAAGAGTTAGATTACCACTATAAATTAATAATTATTAATTTATACTATAAAATAATAAATATTAATTTATAGATAAATTAATATCACTATAAATTAATAAATTTCTGTAGTCCCAACATTATTAATTTATAGAAGTTTTACTGTATAGTAAAATCTGTTTCTATATTTTTTTCCTCTTTTATTTCTAAAATAAAACTAAATGGCTTGACATATTCGACGGTGTGAAAAAACATTAAAAATGAATAATAAAAGTCAAAAAGTGTAATAAGAAGTTTTTTTTGTTCGGAAACTTGCTAATATTATTTTTTGGGTCTCTTCCTATGAAATGTTCTTGATTGTGTGTCTCTCTCTCTCTCTCCCTTTAAATCTGCACATCTCTTTCTTTCTTTTTCTGATCTCACTCTCTCTCTCTCTCTCTCTTGTTTCAAGCTCTCCACGATGAAGCACAAAGTCTCCAAGAGAGTAATCTCTCTCGAATGGGTTCCATTTCTCTGCATCTCTTTCTTCGCTCTTGGAGCAATCTTCACCTTCATGTCTCAAAGTTTCTTCTTTTATCTTTGTTTCTCCTCTACTAATCTTCAGACTTTATCCTTCTTCTTTCTTGTTCTGCCTTTTTGTTGCTGTTTTGTTTTTCTTAATGCGTTTGTTTATTGCTTCTGTCTCAATTTTGGGATTTGTGGATTGTTCAGGTCGTGGGAGCCGTCGTCATATTGCTAATTTCACAGCACCGTCGTGATCAGGAACTTCAGATTGTGTCAGACGATTGTGCTCATAATAAAGTATGTTTCTTGATTCTATTTAGTCTGAGACATTGTTATAATGAGCGGTCGATGATACCAAGAGTTACACTAGATAAGGGAATCTGACTTTGGTAGCTCAGTTTTGAATAATGAATTCATAGTTTTCATAAGTTCAGTCAAATGAGTTTAGCTCTAAACTTTTGAAGATAGGCTGCGATGATTGATTGTGTGTGGACTTTGTTTCGAAAAGATTTGGGTTTTATTCGTCTTATGTTTCATCGTCTGATTTGCTTAGAATCGATGTTGAATCTTGTTCAACCCTGAATCAACACAAAAAGATGAAACCTTGTCATCCAAAGTTTCCTGTGTATTTTTGAGCTTACAGCAGAAGAACTGTCTTGTGCTCCGGCTGAAGCTATTAGAAGGAGCTTCCATGGAATTTGCAAGGGAGATAAAGAAACATCAATCACCCAAATCTCGTTTCTCTTCAACTGTAAATCTAAATACAGTTTGGAGACAATAGGATACTTATTGTTGTAACTTGTAAATCAAATCTCAGCTCTCAAGTAAAGATACTCATTTGGCTTAGCATAGTTACAGCAAAATCTAGAAGGCTCAACAAGCAGTGAAGACAAATAAACAAAACAAAACATATTAACTACAGACAAAGCAAATCAAGATCAGTTTTAAAGTCTCAGACAACAAGCAAATCATATTTCCTACAACAAGCAAACATAAATGAACCACCAAAGACTCGTCTAAGCTCATCATGTTTGGATTCTATAAAGTTATATTCTTTTAAGTCTTGAAGAGAGGGTTTCAAAACAGAAACTATGAACTAAGAAGAAAGTCATGTAGGAGCTATAGACTGGAGGGATTCTAGAGATCAGATATAGAGAAAGGGTTATAAGGCTACACTCTCCAAGAAACCCAACAAAACCACCTTCCTCTGCTCTATCTTGTCTAGTCATAACGAAGACATTAGATCAGAAGTGATCATTGCTTGTAAAACAGAAGTGATTCTGAGAAAGTGGAAGCATTATAGCTGTTGCTTCACACAATAACGGACCAAAGTTTGAAGTGAAGATCAAGACACTAAAGTTGTTTGATTATGCAAAAAGATTCAATACTGAATATTAAATGTCTGAAACAAGACCTGACAATAAAACAGAGCTATGAACTGAGCCTATCATGCGTAATCTCTTACCTCATCTAGGCTTAAACTTATACTTGTAAGAAAAATTGAACCAAACTATTATTTCATACAACACAACCAAGGCTCGTCTATATCTAAACATCATGTCTAGGCGTTAAACGTATGATTGAGATCTGAAGATCCTAAAGCAAACTATTATTTGCCAGCACAAAGCTTGTCTATGCCTTGAAAGATCCGAAGATCATGTTCTGATTCTATAAAAACCATTTTTCAAAGAACCCTAATATGAAGAGCAATTCAATCAAATTCCTAATCGTTGACGATCTATTTTGGAACGGAACCCATGAAGAAAAATAAAAGCTTTATGAAAGACTTACAGTAGAGGAGAAGAAACGTTGAGATTTGACGGCGGACATAACTCTGTTTCACGGCGAACCACCACCACAGGGGAACTCTGTTTCTGTTACTACTCGCTCTTTCTCTCTGGAAAGAAAAGTTATGAATTTTGAAGTAACCGTTATATTTCGTCTGTGATGAATTTGAAACTGGAGAAGAATGAAGATGATTCAACCAACACAACCAAAACAGAGCTATGTTTCATACAACACAAACAAGGCTCGTCTATATCTAAAGTTTATGTTCTGATCCTATTTAACCCTAATACGAAGAGCAAATTAACCAACCCTAATACGACGATGGAGAAAACAAAGTTGTTTGATTGCAAAATTATTCAATCTTTAGTATAGAATGTCTGAAACAAGACCTGAAAACAAAACAGAGCTTGTCTAATCCTAATACAATGATCATGTTCTAATCCTAATACGAAGAGCCATTGTATCACATTCCTTATTATTAACAATCGATCCCATAAAGAAAAATCAAAGCTTTACGAAGTTGAGATTTGACGGCGGACGTTACCACCACAAGAAACCTCTGTTTCTGCTTCTGCTATCATCTCTCCAGTTCATTATTCATAATCAACCACGTTACGAGAACCCATTAAGTAATTCACAATCAAAAGAATTCGAAAGAAAAGTTATGATTTTTGAACCCATTAAATTTCTTCTGTGATGAACTTGAACTTGGAGAAGAATGAAGATAGATTTTGAAGTTTCTGTATTTATCAGATTGCTTTCTAACCGTTGTGTAGTAACGGCTCTTTCACGCAAAGCTTTTTTTTTATTTCTTTCATTAATTTTACTCGTTTGATAATAATTAACTAACTAATTAATTAATTTTCTTTTTTAAAAAAGGTTATGAAAGAGTATTATTATAATTTTTTATATATTTAATTATTGTGATAATAAACTCAAAAATGTCAAAAATGTAATATATATATATATATATATATCTTATTATATAAAGCTTTGTTTTCAAAATTAGCCATTTACAAGATTGTGACACGTGTCAATTGAATCGATAAGATGTTGACATGTGTCAATTCTAAATTTACTAAAATATTTTAATAAATTGTAAAATTTCTAAACCTATTACAAAAAGGAAATATATATTTTTCACCAGAAAAAAAAAAAAAGAAATCTAAATTTTCCAGTAAAAAACCAAAAAAAATTATTTGTTCCTATACTAAAGACATTATATTTTTGAGCAAAAACCAAAAAAAAAAATAGTTGTTCCTATACTAAAGACATTGTACATAATCTTCATTAAAGCATAAATAAAAATACCAAGTAAAAACGCGTAACCTACATATCCAATTGAAATATGAGTTACGTTGGAGGTATTTTGACTTTCTATTCAGCAAAAAAAAACTATATTTTCACCAAAGAACAAAAAAAGAAAAAAAATCTATAGAGAGAAAAAGTTATTTTCTCCCATACTCAAACCATTATACATAATTGTCATTAAAGCACAAATAAAGATACCAAGTAGTAGTGATTTAATTCCTTCTATGGTTCCAATTGGATATGAGTTTGAGATCTTTTGACTCTTCTTTGAGCCATGGTAGCCAATGCTCTTATAATTCTATATATAATTTTATTATTATGTTAAAAAGGTTTTCTCTATACCTTTAATGGTTGGTCATAAACTCATTGCTACTAAGTAGAATTTTTATTTCTTATTTTTTCATTTTTTATATTTTTTGAGTAAACAGTTTTAGTGGTTAAGTAACTATGCCAAAAACAGTTTAAGTGGTTAAGGAAAACATGTAAAATTCAAAGTAAATAAGACATATGATTGGATGAATGTGTTCATAGAGATATTTTATATGATGTGATAAAGAGCATACTTTTACAAAAAAGGATAGTATAACATAAGGGTTTCATGAAGAATAAATAATTGAAAACTTGGTAATCATCTAAAAATTGAACGAATACATAGATTTCTAAACTAGAAACAAACTTTCATTTGTAAATTATATAACTATATTAAAAATGAAATAAAATGACTAAAAAAAAGCATGAAACGAAATATTATGGTAAATAAGCGATAACCTAAAATATTTTTGAAAAAATGGAGAGTCACAAAGAATTTTTTTCTAAACGACTATATATATATATATATAAAACAAATATATGTTAAAACCCTGTAATCCTCAAAGCTATTTGTTAGAAATTCTATTATTAGAAGAGATGATAATAAAATTTGACAAAACCGTTCTGATCTCAAACCATATTGGTTAGAGACTATGTGTTTATAATGAAGTTGTTGAACCATTATAATCGTGTTTAGATGCTATTTGTTCCCTCAAAACTATTTTTTTTTGTTTAGTGAATTGGTCTATTTTTTATTACCTTTGAATAATGCCCACAAAAATATTTAAAAGGGAAAAGCTCTAAAATTGTAACTATTAATTTATCAAGTAAAGTAAAATTTGCTACGGTTCATCAAATATACAAAATATTGCAAGAGTTCATCAAATAAACTATACGTTGCAATAGTTGATAAAACAAATCAAATGTTTAATGATTAGTCAAATAGTTATAGTTTAATCAAATGGTTGCAATAATCCATTTAATACTATTTTAATAATTAAAATTTGAAAAAGAATTATGAAAAGATAGAACTGTAATAATTTCTCTGATGGATTTTAACAGGCTTAGAAATTTTTCATAGAGAACTTTCCTAATGTAAATTGGCTCAAATATAAATAGGTTGTGACCAGAGCGTGACAATGTACTCGAATGAATCACAATTACTCGTAAAAAAATACTTAGTACCATTCAAACAGTAATCAGAAAGTGGAACACAGAAGCAAAACTACCAATAGTGTTTTAATCAAGTGGCAAACACTTAGAATTGATTCATTGTTCTCCACGTTCAACCCTTTGAAAATATAATATTTCTAAGAATATACATATACAACACTAATTAAATCAATTTTTTAAGGGATACTTCTGTTACCTATTGTTGATCCCAAATGATACATGATCGGAATGACTCCTACGTATAATCACTTGATGATCGAGAGATTCCAAGCCTTAACTCGTGAAAGGTGGAACAAAGGTAGAAACGGGGATGGAAGAAGATTGACTAACTCAATCGATGAACAAATTAATAATTTGTCACAATTAAAAAAATTCGTGACAATAAAAATATTGTGACAAATTGTAAACAGTTGCGATACAATCGTCACAAAAAAAAATGTAACAAAAAGTCACAATATTGAGACAAATATAATTAGTAATTACTTACTAGTGACCAAATATAAGAGTACCGTCACCAATATCGACTGTAAATATAGTAGTTAAATCGTCATTTTTCGTGACTATCACAACGTCTCAATTATGTCACTCATTACACAAAACTATAGTCACTAAACCATCACAAGTGATGACTAAAAATCGTTGCTTAATCGTCACAATTACCGTCTAAAAATATTGTCTCAAACTGTCATATATCGTAACTATAATAACGTCACAATTATGACACTTATTATCATAGAACTATAGTCACTATATTAACACGACCGAAGACTAGAAAACAGTTGTTTATTCGTCACATATATTTTTTTTTTGAATAATCAATGAGGTTCTGGGCCGAAGCCCATACATCCCCTCAGGCCCGAGACCAAAACATATTATATGGTCTCGTCCCAACCGTTACTCGAACCGGCGACTCCTAAGCTTTTGCCAGAAATCTTTACCAATTGAGCTATTAGCACTTGGTTCATTTATCTATCACATATATTTACTAAAACACATTTTCAATAGATTTTTGTTCAACTAAAAAATATTTATATTATTAGATAAATAAAAGAAACTTAAAACATATTACAAAAGCAACAAACGTGAAATGGTCTAAACATACACGGAAGCAAATCAACACACTGAAGCAAATAAACAGAAGCAATAAACAGAAGCAAAACAAAGTAGCGAAGCATAAACAAACAAAGTAAAACCAGAGGTTTGGAGAACTAGAAGTTCCTACAGCTGGAGCACACGAACCAACAGTACCCATGGAAGCTTGTGGA